AAGAGCGGGTCAGTTGTGTCCCTTGGAAGGCAGGTGGCTCCTGGGTGCTCTGCAGAAGGAGCACGTACAAGAAAGAAGCCCCTGGGCTGAGGGGGTACGTCCGTGAGATACCCGCAAGCAGGAGCGCTGTGGGTGGGAAGAGAGTTGTCCGTATACACTTCATAGTTCTGTTCTGACATCGTTGCCTTGAATTTTCCGTTTAAAATAATTCGCTTTTCAATTTGTATCCTAAAAAGACCAGTCTTGTGATTTTAATAGTTGATTGTTTGTCTTTGGGGAGCCCACTACAGGAGGTAAGCTCAGAGCTCTTGCCCACTTGGGATCCCATAGCAATCACTAGCACGTATTTCTTCTACATTGCTGGTAGGAATCAGAGTAAAACAAAAAAACCTCGTATTGGCAATATGTCACAGTGAGAGGTGGCCAGACACATTCAGGAGCATGCACCCTGTTGTTAATGCTATTTGCTTTTGCTGAGGTAGTGAACTTGGTGACCTTCCCAGATAGTGCCAGCACTAAGACTGTTCCCCTGCGGAGTTGGGGATCGCATAAAACCCGTCAGCTCCACAAGTGTCTTTGCCTTTATAAGTTACGACAACAATGTTGTCCATCTTTCCAGCCTGGTATGTGGCCACAGCACCTGCTGTGCTCACTGCTGCACATGGGCCCGCTTGGTCAGTGCTGTGGGTGGACTCTCCCTCTTGAAGGACGGGATCCAAAATAATCAGCCCTCTGCTCTCATATCTTTAGAGTTCCCCAAGTGCAGTTCAGCTCTGCACTGTTAGCGTTAGCATGCTAAACGCATTTCAGTTAAAATTTATCTGGACTGGTGCATTGTCTCAGGAAAGGATGGGAAGAATTTGGAGAGTTCTGAAATCTAAAATATTGGTGAACTAGTGGGAAATATTGCATTCTTCTTTAAGGAGAGTATCACAGCCTATTCCCAGCTCTACCATGACTACACGACCACGCAAGTGGGTATGCATGATATCATCCGTAGCTTCCGTCAAACCATGAATCAGTTCAGCAGTGAGCCTGGCCGATACAGGTAATCATCATTACAGCTGGTGAATTTTTCTCTAATATTTGTCACCCTCTTGCTAGCACTAAACTGTTTTTCTTTATAACATAATATGCCATAAAAAGCTTTCTTCCTCAAATGCAAATAGTGGTGCATAGGCTATATTACCTCTTCCCCAATGTGTGAGGGAAAGGAAATGAATTGCCCCTGGTAGTTCTGCTGTGTCTACCGACTGTACAAAAGTAAGCAGAAGGGGCGACCATTCGGACCGCAGAGACACTGTAAGTAATCAGCCCTGTGGCTGATTTATTGTACAGTATGAATAGTGCTGTTCATATCAGACACAGTCAGAGATTGTTAAAATCACAGAATGGTTGAATTCGGAAAGGACCTCTGCAGGTCATCTGGTCCGACCCCCCTGCTCATCAGGGCCGCCTAGAGCTGGTTGCTCAGGACCGCGTCCAGATGGCTTTTGGACATCTCCAAGGATGGAGACTCCACAACCTCCCTGGGCAACCTGTTCCAGTGCCCAGCCACCCTCACAGTAAAAAAGCGTTTCCTGATGTTCAGAGGGACCCTCCTGTGTCTCCTTTTGTGCCTGTTGCCTCTGGGCCTGGCACTGGGCACCACTGAAAAGAACCTGGCTCAGTCGTCTTTGCACCCTCCCTTCAGATATTTATATACAGTGATGAGATTCCCTCCCTGAGACCTCTCTTCTCCAGTCCCACCTCTCAGCCTCTCCTCATAGGAGAGATGCTCCAGTCCCTTAACGGTCTTAGTGGCCTTTTGCTGGACTCTCTCCAGTATGTCCATGTCTCTCTTGTACTGGGGAGCCCAGAACTGGACACAGCACTCCAGGTGTGGCCTCACCAGTGCTGAGTAGAGGGGAAGGATCACCTCCTTTGACCTGCTGACAACACTCCTAATGCAGCCCAGGATACCGTTAGCCTTTTTTGCCGCAAGGGCACATGGCTGGCTCATGTTCACCTTGAGGGACCCCAGGTCCTTTTCTGTAAAGGAAAGCATGGAAATTGCTGGAATGGAGTTACACAGATGTGGATTCAGAAAGGTAAGACTTCAGTCAGATAGATACTTACAGCCTTTTGTTGACTCTTGTAGACTTTTCTCCAGAAATTTCCAAGAAATATTTCTCCTTGTCTGCTTTACAAAATATTGTTTCTCTGTATTAATCTTCTTTAATGGGGCGGAGGGAAGCAAGCATAATTCTTAACGCTGTGTTATTTTCTAAGTATGTCCAACGCCATTCCTAGCCAACACCATTCCTAGCTTCCTTCTGCTCTGTGCAAACCAAGAATGAGCCAGAAAAGGTACTTGTGTACTTCTTTGTAGGTTTATGGGTTCAGATGGTGATGAAGACATTGAAGCAACAATGATGTATTATGGAACAACTTTTATCCAAGAAGCAGATTTTCCCTTCAATTTCAACCTAATTAACATGAAAAATCTATCGGGTAACAGTATTTTTGAAGCTGTCAACTTGTGGATGAAAAACATGCCTGCAGGAAAATGGCCGAACTGGGCGGTAAGAGTTCTAGACCAACTCTTATAGGAAGGGCTTGTTTCTATAGGTGATAGAAACCTATAGGTGATAGCTCCTCTTACGGTGATAGAAACTTCCCCCCCCCACACACACTGATTTCAGTGGGATCAGCAGCAGCCTGAGCCCATGGCTGAGCTATAGTAGGTATCCATGCGAAACTCTCAGCTGCTGTAGTTGCAGCCGTTGGCATTGGCCGGCTGGCTGGCTGGCTGTCCTGCCCTTCGGTAACGGTTACATGCCCCGTGCAAGGGTGACAGAAGGGAATTTATGATCGTGCCTCTCCCTCGGTGTCTCCAATGTAGTATGGGGCATTGGCTTAAACCACCAGTGAGGATGGGATTGGTACAATTGTCTTTGGCCGTAAAGTGACTCAATGCAAAGGATTCTGAAAACCTCCCAAGGCAGGGAAGAACAGAGCAGGCAGCTGAGGGCAGTTAACTTAAAACCTTGCTGGTCTTTGCTAGGAAGCATGTTTGGGAACTGCAAGAGATCTTTTCAAAACAAGGACCACCTTCACACAGCAGAGAAAATGGCAGAAATCTGAGGGAACTGTAATCGTGGAGAACTGTTACTCATCATCTCTTCTCACTTCTGCCCCATGTGCTGCTGGCCGGGCTTCTGTGTGCTAAATTATTTGGGGCAGAAGTTCGTACTGGCACCAAGATAAAAAAAGACAATTGCCCTCACAGGCCTGGAGGGGAAAGAAAAAAAAGAAAAAAACTTACTACCTCGTTAAATTAGTTAACCAATTTCACACATGCATGGAATTTTATAATGTGCGTTTAACAGAATGATGTTTTCTCCAGGTTGGAAGCCCCAACGCTGCTCGGATTTCATCTCGGATCGGGAAGGAGTACGTCAATGTTATGAACATGCTGATTTTAACCCTCCCTGGTACTCCTGTAACGTACTACGGTGAAGAAATAGGCATGGAGAACATCGTATCAGAAAATGTAAGCGAAGAGCATATAAACTCTGATCCTGTTGTTTAGTTCCGAGTAAGAGAACTTTCAAAAATACGAGAACTTTCAAAAATAGAAGAACTTTGTTTTGTTAACCAAACACAGTCTTTCTCACTGTTTAGATGGTTTTCTGTGTTCCCCGTGGCAAAATCATTGGACAGCCCGTGGAAATGGCCAAAGACCAGAAACCAAAGCCTTGATGTGTGTCTGAACAGCTAAGACTGCAGTCATGGTCCCCGATTTCTGTCAGATTAGTCTTGCAGGGTTTGCAGCAGCGTTGCTTTGCTTCGCTTCAGCAGAAAGGGCAGCGAGTGCCAACACCGGGCCTGGGCTGGTGGTTAGGAGAGGTGTGTTGCAGCCATCCGAGGCAAGAGGAACCAAGTCGCTATCTCCGTCCTCCCACAGAAGTACTCTAATCGCTATGTCAAAGTCCGTTATTTCCTGGCTGCTATTTAAAGGAAATCGGAGTTCGTGAGAGACCGTAGCTACAGTCACCATCTCCTGCGGACTGCTTTGCTCTGACTATGCAAAGGCACCTGGCTAAGCCATAGCCCTCTACAATGTGCCCAATCCCTGAAGAAGGGATCTCCAGAAAGGGGTGGGTGTACAGACCAGCCCCTGCTTAGCATTGCCCTGGTGGCAAGCAGAAGTGGTGTTTGCTTGTCACGCAGGGATTTTTGATTTGTCTTTTAGATACTTTTCTATAAAGGATTTAGGCACCTGAGCCTGGGAACCTCACTTGGTCATAACTATAAGTAACACATGACAGGATGTTTGTTAGATTACAGAAATTTTCAGAAGTAAGTTTATTCAAGGTCAAGGCATTAAAACAAAGTGTCTGTGCCCTTCACACTGTGCTGACCTGCATAACTTAAAAGCTTTCATGTTCAGCCCCTGTAACTTCGTTTCTTGTCTCTTCTGTGATCGTACCTGACTTCTGTTGCGTCTGTCGCCCAAGATGTATGGGCGTGACTGGAAAAGGTCATGCCCAAAAGGGAACAGCTCAGCTCTGCCTCTCCTGACCATATTTGAGCACCGTGAGAACACGGTCCTATGGCAGATGCTGGTTTCACCGTGGAAAGCCTCTGTTAGGGAATGAGAGAGCCTCTGATGATGTTACCAACGGTGTTGGCTAGTTTTGTACCAAATGGAAAGAGGTACTTGAAGAAGCACAGGATCATCTCCAGGTTTGACTGAGATGTGAGGAAATGATTCTCTGATTTAAAAGGAAATCTCCTTTCCTCTGAGAAACACCTAGGTCAAAAGATCTCCTGCATTTTCTTCCTGCTGCTGCTTACTGCTGACAGAATGATGCTCTTCAGAAAAGTGGCTTGCCCTTGGCTCCTCAGGCTTTACTCTTTTAGTGGCTACCCTGTGGCTACCCTGTAACAACACAAACCCACTCTTCATTCTGTCTGGAGAGGAGGAATCCCTGATTGATGGGTGTCTTAGAAAGCTGGAGAGTATTCGCTCAGGGTATAGTTTTTAGCCCCAGCATTTAAAACACTTCAGGAGAAGTTGGAAAAGATGAAAGGGAGTGTTACCAGTGTTGAAAACTTGGGATTTTTTTCCCCCTGTTTTCAGAACATGCTAAAAGAAGAAACCTGTTATTTATAATGTCACAAAGCAAAGTGACAATTTCTTTTGTTGAGCTGCTGTTCTGACAGATTGTATTGAAAAGTGCCCTTTATATGAAAAACAGTTTTCATGGAAAACAAACACTCAAAGTACGTGCAAAATATTTTATGCCCTCTTATATCGTTAAATTTAAGTGTCAGATCTTTTGGCAAGCCCTTCAGTAACAATGAGGAAGCTTTTTCAGAATTTTTCTGAATTCTTCAAAATGAGAACTTCAGACTTTCTACGTCCACACTTTTTAATCAGCTAAAAGCTGGTTTTCAGTAAAGTTTTTGCACTTGGAAATAATTTTATCTTTCTAACACAAACAATCCTGTCCAAATTGTACCCCTTGCAAATGTAAGCTTGAAGAGTTCTCAGGTGAAAAGTGCAATGGTTACAAAAGAACAGACACTGAATAGCTTTTACTAGTTGTTTACTGTTATTTTCACAGCATCTCTTCTTAGGACTCATCACCTCCTGTATTCACTCACTATCAGAATATCCTAGCTGTCTTTAGTAAACTTTTATCCAACCGTCTGTTGCAAGGGGAGACAACTCTAGTCGAGTCATTTGGGAATTCCACATTTTACCTAGTGATGCCGTACCCATGAGACCATCCGTTCTCCTCCATTTCAGGAACTGTCTGGATTCCTATTTTCCCTTTAGATTTGGAGCAGGATTACATCCTCCTCATTAAACTTTCACTTCAAGCAAAGAAAGCAATGCTGCAGCGGTGATCGTTTGGAGGATGTGAGAACATGCTATTCGAGGCATAACTTTTTAATATACTAATCAAAACAAGTAACTTCTTGGTAACGGCTCTGACACCACTTTGTTTTCTAGGTGACCTTTCCAGAGAAATCCCCCATGCAGTGGGATGGCGAAGTTAACGCTGGTTTTACTGAAGGCAACAGTAGCTGGTTACCTGTTAACTCCGACTACCCAAGCGTCAATGTCGAAGTAGGTATCTGTATGTGTGACTAACTCTAATGGTTTAAAAATATCTTAATGTATCTATTTTGCTCTGACTTCTTTTACTTAGTGGGAATTGGTAGTGTAGCTAGTAAGAACAAACTCAAGGGAGGAAAACAAACAGGCACTGCATCCGAACAGATTTTATTAGAAGAGGAAATCCCTGCACGAGCAAGGAGTCTACTTTGTCTATATTCATTTAAGCAGGGCAACTGCAATTATAATGGAGAGGTGGCAACCTGGCTCTTAAGAATTACTGAAAGGATGTTAATATCAAATCGAAATCTGGTCGTCTTTTCACTTCTGTTGCTATAGAAAGCACTGGCCTTGTAACAAGAACTTAACATAGACCATCTTTAACGTAAGTAAATAAAAATTTTTTTCAAGGCAGTTGAGCAGTGAATCAAACAGATCTTGCTGATCCACAGTGCTGACCAGAATTGAAGGCAAAAGAATAAATCGAAGATGGGAAAAATAAAACACAGAACAAACCCTGTGAATTCAGTTGCTTAGACTCAATGCAAAAAGTTCAGTATCGAGCTTTGAATGGCTGTGGCTTTCTCCTGAATAAACGGTACTAAAAGGACACTGTGGGAGGAAGAAATAGGGTTAGTGCTGGGGAAATTCTGTCCTGCCTAATAATCTGTCTCTGCCGCTCCGCAAGTGCCAAGGAAGTGCATGAGAAAAAGCAGTTTTTCAGTGGAATTTGTAGACAAATTTGAAGAGAGCTACTTGTCAAAACGGAATTCTAATAGGTGTGTTCTCAGCAGACTGCGTGGGTGCGGGAGGCAAGTAACATTTCCTACGTTCAGTGCAAAGAAATGACCCTGTTAACGCTGACTGTTGCAGATCCAGATGACCTGGTCCAACTCAACCCTGAATTTGTACAGAGAGCTAACTTTACTTCGCAACAGCGAGCTACCCATTCATCGGGGGTGGATGTGCTACGTCTGGAACGACAGTAATGTTTTTGTGTATGTGAGGGAACTGGATGGGTTAGACAGAGTCTTTATGATGGTTCTCAATTTTGGGCAGGAATCGACAATAGACCTGAAAGCTATAGTTCCTAGCCTTCCATCCGAAGCTATTGTAAGACTAAGTACTAATTTTAGCAATGCTGGTAAAGCCGTCAATACCAAACTAATTAAAACTGAAATGGGAGAAGGCCTCGTCCTCGAATATAAAACAGCAAAGCCTGTTCATACTATGGAAGCTTTTCAAGGAAATTGTTTTGTGGCAGAAAAAGCTTGTTATTCCAGTGCCTTCAATTTACTCTATGTGAACTGTTAAGTGCAGTAGAATAACCAAGCTTTCATGTTAATTTAGGAAATGTTTGTTTCAGGGAAATGCTAAAAAATTTCAGTTTTCTTTGGCTTTTAAAACTTCGTGTACAAAATAAACGTCCTGAAAAATAAAACAGGTACCTAATTGTCTTGCATCTGTGTTGGTGATGAATAGGAAAAAGCGTGGTATAAAATCTCCCTTCGGGTCTGTGGAGAAGAAAAGTAAACCTGCCCTAAAAAGCTGTCCTGTTTAAACGTGTGCATTTTTGTGAGGAAGGAGAACAGTTGCTTTCTGGGTGCTGCCCCTTACAGTTGCTAGTCATTAAGAGCTCCTGAGGAATCCAAAGCCCGCGGCAGTTCATAGTAACTTTTAGAAAGTCTGTAGATTTGTAAAACTTGTTCTAAAGGGGTGGCCCTATGTTTGTTAAGGTAGGTAAAAGCAAGCAAGACTAATATATAAAGTTGTGATGGCTTAGCTCTTCTCTCAACTCCAACAGCTCTGATTATCCTCGAAGTTACAAAATATAGCTAATAATCCTACGCTCAGGACTGTATTTCCAACTAATTCTGCCTCCCCCCTGCCGAGTTCGAATACATTTGCATTCTCTTATTTCTTTTTCTACCCTAAGGCTGAGGTGAGGTGTGCATACATTAGCTCAGAGCGAGCAACTGAAACAACTCTACTGCATGTCACACGTTCACGTGCTTTGATTTGCATTTGGTGCACCTACAGTGGCTTATGTGGTACGAAGGAAGGAGAAGCATTTGACTCGGTGCAGTCTGTTCTGGACACGGGGGTGATCTGGGGAACTCGGTTTCGGTTTGAGGACCTTATGGCCACATAGTGTATTTTCCACCAACTGCTTGTACCAGTTGCTGTTCCTAGGTGTGCGCCACGCATCTATCGTAACAAGCAACGTGCAGCAGTTTTGTGCCTTGCTCGGAGGTCAGCTAAGCTATGAATCGGGCTGCTTTAGTGGGGGCATTCTTTTTGTTTTATCCTCCGGAGGGACTCTGGCATCTCCTTCTGTGGCATTCATCTTGTCTTCCGGAGGGACTCCGGCACCTCCTTTTTAAGATTACCATGCTAGTTAAGGTTAACTACAAGATTTTGGATCTACTCAGATGAGAGTTCTGAGAAAATTCCTGTTCTTGAGAGTCCATTTCTTCTTTACAGTGTGTTCGATCCCACCGTATGATCAGTACAGTATTGCTGCTGTGTAGCTAGGAAGGGCAATAGTCATCATCACCTATGTATGGGAATTAGTTTTAGAAGACCCTAGTGAGACTTTTACATCAAATACTTCTTGGGAGTTTTACTGCCTTGTGTAAAGTGTGGTCTTGGAAGGGAGGTCTTAGACCGGAAAGTACATGTCTTCACGTTAGGCTTTAAGCACCAACCGTTGCGCTTCAGCTCCACTTGTATGCTTGCTTATGTATGCTCCACTGCACCGCTTGCTTATGTGAACAGAACTGCTGAACAAATGGATTAATGCAGGTGGCTACTTCTGTACTATCTGGCAGGGGAGAAATTCAGCTCTTGCTTTGTATGTTTATAGGCCAATGCCACCCCCAACTTTGAATTTCTTGTCTGCTTATGCCCATAAAGCAGAGGTTCAAGAGGAGAGATCCTCTGGAGAAGGTGTTCACTTTTCATATAAATAAAAATCTGACCCAAAGTTCTTCAGGTGGTCAATGTGTTTATTAGCTACTTGCAGGGTTTCATATGATGTTGGACATGGCATACTTCCTCAAGTTCTTTGTTCAGAAAAGCAAGGTGTCTTGCAACCTAAAATAATGAAAATATTTTATTACAAAATAAAAAAATTCTTTGCACTATAAACCTTCAGGTTCTTGCACAGCTATTCTAATCTTCTTCCTTTGCCATACTAATGCTAAGCAATACCTTGCCCTAAGACAGAATGACGCTTTTCCTGAAAAAATTCATTTTGGGAATAACTGCCACAAGAACCAAGTAACACGTGCAGGGATTTGTTAAAATTAACAAAATTTGTATCCAACTGCGATAGTCTGAGACATCAGTAACAATATGGCAGGTCTCGGCAGTATGTTGCTTTTAGCATGCACGCTTGTACGAAGTGCAAGATGTTGAAACCTAATTGTAGTAGCGTCCTTTGATAGTACAGATCATGCATTTCAGAATGTAAAGATCAAACCCATCATATATGCTCTACTCATGAGGAAGATGGAAGTAAATAGCCAGTATGACAATTTTAAGCACTTAATACTCTACAGTGCAAGACTTTTCCTGCTGGAACAATGTTTTGCACAACTTTAGAACCTTTCATTCAAAGCTCTCAGCACATTACAGCGGGAGTTTAAAGCTCTTTGGAGGCTTAAGGCACAATGAGGTTCAATAATCCGGCTCTGTCACTGGCTCTTGTGTGTATATATGCACATAAAAATATATATCGATATACAAAAAAAAATTTATAAAACTGCTAGTTTTATATATAGTTTTTTATATATATAAAAAAAACCTGCTGGTTTTGTATTTTTATATCTATTAAAAAAACCCAGCAGTTGCTCTTGCAGTATGTATAAAAGGTTGCAAGAGCAACCTTAATTCCAGCAGGTTTTTTTTCTTTTAATACTTCAAACATACATTCAATGACTGCATGAACTATTAACATTGAAGTATCAATTGAGGGGAAACCTCCCTCCAACCTGTTATGGATGTGTGCAATAAAGGGAACACACCTCATTCAGTGAATCCTCCCAAGATGAATCACAATGACTGCCATTTGCCTGGATGTCCAAGATGATATTAGGGATCCGATTTCCTGGAACAGTGAAGCTAGTGATCACTTGACATTGAATGAATGAGGAAAAAGGTAAGCGGGGATGTGAGTTGTTTAGGGATAGATAATTCTGCCTTCTATCCTGCCAGAATTTCTGTTGTTCCTTAAATAAAAAAAGAATCATATAGGGGCTTGCTGGATGAACTATTTGTATTTCTATGAACTACATATTTGAAAACTGTTTATATATTTAGCATGTTTGTTCTCTTTCGCAGTCTTTGTGGAAAGACGTGCTTTTTTCTTTCTAAGCAAAGACTGCAACAGCAATTGCAGTACCTGCTATCCTTTCTCAACCATTGCAGCTGTGCTGCTAGCAGAGAAGGGGCATAATGAAATTTAGAAAAGCTAACTCAAGATCTATTTTGGTACTGATGGTAAATGCCTCTCCCCACATTAGATGGTACTAGAAAATAATAAGGCTTGAATATACGTTTTGCTGGAAACAGTCCCAATGCTAGTGTTAAGTTTCAGGTATAAAAGCATCTATGCCTTGGCACTGCTGTCATTCTAACTTGGACTAACACCTGCAGTTTTTTATAGAGCAGCAAAAATAAGATTTTTATCCATGTGTCGTTGAGAACTGCAGTCTGACTGTATCAGTAGCTGGACCAGTTCACCCAGCCCTGTCCAACACTTGCCGTGTGTTGCGGCCTAGGAAAGACTGAGCCCAACTCATATTCTCCCAGTCTTCATTTTTTTTTCATCTCAGAGGGTTTCCTGAGCCTGTTGTGGTTTGTCACTATTAACATTCAACACATAAGGGTTTAACTATTTTCAGGCAGGTCTACAATGTAGAGATATCCGGTCCCTCTTCAGGCTCTGGAGAGTGCATCGTAGAAACTGAGGTTTATCTATTTGTCAGCATGACTGCACATCTCATCTTTGCAGATAATGGAAACTACTTCAGAGCTTTAGATACCAGACTGTATTGTACAAACAAATGCATTCAAGGAGGAGTCAATCTCTATGATGTTTAATTACATGACTACTAATATTCAGGTTTAGTTAACTCCACGTATCCGTAATATTCTTACTCTTACCTTTCTTACTTGTTCTGCTGGCGTGATCTAGTGCAGCCTTCCTAAGTTTCTGAACATACTGTAAAATTCCTGTTAGTGGTACCCGTTGATCATTTTCATATGCCGTGATAAAAACTGAAGGATAACACTGAGATTAAAAAACAAAACCAGTTACATACGTGACAACTGATTTTTCTCATAAAATGAGTAACAAATTCTTCTCTATTTATCTTACTGTACTACTTGTTATGGTTTATCTAAAAACACATCTATTACATAATTACCTGCTCTTAAAAAAAACACTTTTATCACTCTAACTGCAAAAAGTATTTTGGTCTGAAAAATTACTTCATATTAGGGGATCATCTGCGTGCAAAAGGTAACTAAAAACATCCTCTCCCCACTGGTAAAGGTCTGATACCTGTCTGCTTGCTGGTGATTACAAAAAAAGGGGAAGTACTAATCATGGAATGGTTCACCTTAGGACAGTAGTAGAAGTTTACTTTTGCAATCTTTCCATACCTAAAAAGTAGTTGTTTTTATATATTAAGATTTTATTTAATGAAGCTATGCAACACAGCTAACGCATTACTTCAAATAAAGAAAGATTTCCTCTAAGATGACAATGTCAAAGCCACAGCTCCTTTTCCATTTCATTGTTTGCCTCTGAAAAGGTATTTAGTCAATGGAAAATACCTCCTTCCTCCTGTGACAAATGCTGCAAAACCCAGTGGAACAAGAGAAACCCCCCACAAAAGGAGAAAGTATTTTACATGTTGAGGTTTGTTTATACAATAGAATAATCTGTTACTTCCTGGCAGTCCTATAACAAAAACAGTTTTTGAAATCTATCGATTATTTAGGAGAAAGTGTTTGGTTAATTTCAGTAGTCACTTATGACTCCAAATATTGCTAAGATTATTACTGTAATAGTTTATATTTGTATTGATGATTCCTTTTAACACAAAGCAGCAGCTAAGACAATTCTAAAATGCTGGGGTTTAAAGCACTGAAAACGTAAAATAGACTTTTTTTTAATTTCAGTTATCCGCTTTTTGTTTTCTTATAAACTGCTACGCTTTAGTACTGTAGTATTCCACACAGAAAGCATAGTTTTACCTGTGTCTTAATATTCTGGTATGGACAATAGCTTTTGATATACTTCATACATTTTTCATCTGCTAATGGATTTCCCCACTCTTCCTGTTCTTCAATTGTCAGTGGCAGATGAGTTTTCATCATTG